AGCGTGTGCAACATAAATTCACCTGCCTGTCACACGCACACATATAAGTGCAGGTGTGCGACACATGCGGCTTAAGCGGCCGCCATTTTTTTTTTTTTTTTTACAAAATAGGCAATTTCAGACGATTTTATTCGGCAGTACGACAAGCTAACAATGTATGCCAAAAAACAAAGACCCAAAATGTACACATATATCTATATTAAAGACCTTATCGCTGCTATAAATATGCATTTGTTAAGTCAACGAACTTTAGCTCAGTATCCGCAATAACAATGCCAATATCGATACCATTGACAACAAAATCTGTCGCCTATCGATAGGTTCGGCAAGTCTCTTCTCTTGATGTCATCGATAATTAACATTATTGTTATTACAACAAATAAATAGTTTGTCGGGTTAGTAATAATTTCTCAATAATGTTAAAGTCTGCTAAAGTTCTTCAGCCGAAGTCTAAGGGAAACATCTCTTTTGATCTTTGACAAAAACTATATATTTTGCACTCAAGTTTCAGAATTAGTTTTCAGTTTTATTCACCTCACGCTCATACTTCTATATTCTTTATTATCTATGTAAGACAATCATCGATTTATCAAAATGTTGCGCAGATCGAGTTTGTTTAAAATCACGGATAGTTCGTTTTGTTTCGATGCAATCGATAAGAATAAATAATTTGCAATCGATAAGAATAAATAAATCTCAATGTTTGATACTGGTTTGGCATAGAACTGTATTTGGAAACATTAAGCAAATATTGATTGGCTACAGGGCCGATGAAACTAGCCGGAGTATTACCATACATGGTGGCACATTAATTAATCAATAAAAATGAAAAAATGCACATAGCCAGCCAATAACTGAGAGCCTACAGGTTAGTAAGCCGAACCAGAAGGAAATGTTGGTATGAGGTCTGTCATAATAGATTATAATTAATTTGTTTAACCAATTAATTAGCTAACTTGGCGATTATGAATACTGCAATTGAAATGCCAGATTAATAAAATAATATAAATACAATTTGCGGTAGCAGAGCTCGGCAACAAACTGGATAGTTTTGAATTGTGTAGTTAAAATACTTTTCCAGCAATTATTTGCTTTAACCAACATCAGCTCATATCTAGCTTTAGCTACATTCGCAGCTCTAGACACCTCCATTGACACGTTCAGTTGGCTTCTTGGTCTTACAAAATGCTTCAATAAATGTTAACCCTGCTGTCACATCGATTCGCTGCTTATATTTACGATTCAATTCAGCTCCAATGTCGCATGCATGTGCACACACCCACCATTGCCAATTTATGTCGCGATTATATTTATACAGCATTTGACTTAAATGCTAAAATGCAATAAAATCATCCATGCGGATACAATAATTGTCTGTTGTGGCAGGGCATTAAGAGTGCCTGTCTGTCATTGGGGTTTTTTTCTTGCGCGTTTATTGCCCCCCTGCCAACACTTTCCTATTTGCCCACAACAAACATTTATTGCAGCGGCTGGTAAAAAAGAAAACACAATACTAAAAGTTGCAGGAACAACCAGAAAAAGAAACAAAACAGCGCTAAAAACATGCGCCAAACAACAAGTGCAACGTGCCAAAGCGACGTACGTAGCATATTAGTTAAGTACAGACACAAAAAGAATCTCACACACAGGCACACTCACACACACACACACACACGAGCATAGACACGCACATGCACTATGGCAACGTGTGTGTCCGCAACACGCGGCGTATGCGCAACGTTTGCCAGCACACAAATGCGTCGAGCAATATGACAATATCCGCTTTTCACACGCGCCGTCCAAACAAAACACGTGAGCTCGTACACCGAGCCTACCTGGAGGAGCCACACAGGACTCATCAAATAGTTAGCTGTACGGGTTTGGCCTAGGGGATGTAGGACGACGGGTTAAGTCTAAGGCAATCGCCTCGGACTCGGTCAAATGGACACAAACAGTTCACGTCAGGCCTCAACTCACTTTGCATTGTGTCAGCCTATTGAAGTGTTAGACAGGAATCACTTATATTTGTGTAATGAATCCCTCAAACACACACACACACACGCATACACATTCGCACACTATGCATAAGTTGTTGTTGCGGATAGCTAAAGTGAATTAATTTGATCCAATGTGATGTCTTAGCCTCCTAAAGGAACTGCTTACTATCAGAAAGCTAAACAATTAATAACAAACATAATCAGGTTATATAAATAATTCGTATGCATATTAAACAGTCATAAATAAGCCATTCACCCATTCAATTACTTAGTCAGTCAGTCATTCAATCATTGAATCAGTTCGCCATTCAGTCAGTCAATAGATCAATCAGTCAGTCACTCATTCATTCAGTCCATTTAGTAACTTAGTCACCCAATAGGTCAGTCAATCAATAAATCAGTCAGCGGTTTACCCATTCAATCCCTCTGCCAGTCAGTCTGCAATTGAGTCAGCCAGTCAATCTGTCAGCGATTCACCCAATTAATCCCTCTACCAGTCAATCAATCAGTTAATTAGTTAGTCAATCAATCAACTAAAAATGCAGTCAAGTTCAGTCATTCACTTGTTAAATCTCTACGCTAGTCAGTCAGTCAATCAGTAAGTCATTTGATCATCAAACCATTCAATTACTTAGCCAGCCAATGTCAATGTCAATCACTCAATCAATTAGTCAGTCAATCTGTCAGCTATTCACCTATTCAATTCCTCTGACAGTCAGTCAATCAATCAGGCAATCAATCTGTCAGCGATTCACCCAATTAATCCCTCTACCAGTCAATCAATCAGTGAATTAGTTAGTCAATCAGTCAGTAAGCCATTCAGTCAGTCAAAAATGCGTTCACCTATTGAATCTCTTTTCAATTCCTCGGACAGTCAGTCCTCAGTCAGGTAATCGGTCAGTCATTTAATCAGTCAACCATTCAGTTACTTAGTCAGCCAATGAGTCAGTCACTCAATCGATTAGTCAAATCTGAATAAATATACGAGAATACAACTAGGTGGGAAACCCTTAACGGTCAGAGAAAGACATTCGCCGTAATTTGTATTAGATGAATTATCTTTAATGCTAGCGATTCCAAATTCGTTGAAGCTATCAGAGGTATAAGATTTTTCTTTTGAAATATGATAGTCTGTTAGGAGCTGAGCATAATCCTGCAGATCTAGATCCAAAATAAAGTTCATATTCCTTGAAAGGCATCATCACCATGAGAATTAATTGAAACAATTTATGATAAAACGTGTTACTCTGACTATTTGTACTAGGAAACAAGCATATCCTGCTTGGTTGTGGATTCGTTCAATTTTTGTGGCTTCAAAAACTAATTAGGAGCAATTCGCGTTAACAGCAAATGCTAATGCGGCGAGATAGAGAAAGAGAGAGAGAGAGAGACTGAGAATGAGAGAACGAGAGAGTAGCTGTAAATACAGTTCGCTTAACGCCAAATTAGGCGCAATCTGCAGGCGCTGCAACAAAAGCCACAACTGAAGCAGCAACAGCCAGTGGCACAGTCGATGATGACGAGGACAACGGCAACGTGCACGCTTGGTTTGAGAAGGATTGCTCCAAGTGGGCCATGGTATGGCATGGCAAGGATGTGAAGGGACGAGAGCATGGCCCTGTGGTGGCACTTATCTGGCTGATGCAGTTGCTGTTGCTGTGGCCAAAGCGGCCAATATGCATTTGGCGATGAATCACAACACAAAAGATGCAGCCCAGCCGGCGACGCCGCAGACGGGTGCGGGGTGCGGGGTGCAGGGTGCGGGATGCGGGGTCTGTGTGCTGCGATGAGTAACAAAAATTGTGGGTAGCCAGCGATAAATAGATGTATATGCTACTCTCTCTTTCGCACTCTCCAACTCACTTTCTCTCTCTCTCTCTCTCTCTCTCTGCTCTCTGTGTCTAGCTAGCTGACAAAACAAGTCCCTGACCCCAAAAAGTAGGCAACAAAAGGCGATGGCTGCTTTGTCAGCAATTCAACATCACTTCCCCTAAGCCCCCAGCTAAACGAATGCCCCCCCCGCTTCCCATGCCAGCCATCTGCTATGCTAATAACCAATATTTTAGAGCTAAATCGCCGTCTGCCTTCGAAATTGTGACCAACAAAGAGCAATAAAAAAAAAAAAGAGACTTTACATTTGGCTGAATCATGACACTGCAGAAGAGGAAGAGGCACAAATGGAATAATCTTAGTTGTGTGTAGTGATCAAATGGTGGTGACAGTGAAAAACATTCATTCATTCAATCATTCATTCATTCAAACGGCATTTTAATTAAATTGGAATGTCTAAAAATAACCTGAATTCCCCTACAAATGGCGGCTGGTTCCAGTTCAAAGACTATATAATTTCGAGCTGGAACAATACGAAACCTTATCTAAAATCTAAGCATATCTGCATTAATTAATATTTATTTCATTTTAAGCTGAGCCCGTGCTCTGTTCTCTGACGAAATATTGTACTCTTTCATGAGCAAAACCCTTTCAACATCAGGCTATATTACATCAGAAAGCTAAATAGAAAGAGAATGTGATAAAAAGTTAATTTTGCACTTTTCTGTTCTTTAGGATTTCTTAATCAGACGCAGGTATCACGAGCCTTACTTTTTACTCTGACTGCATTTGAAATCGTTCAACGATTTCCTAGAGATCTTATAGGAACAATCGGTTGAAAATTAAGCTCTTGTATCTGAAAGATTCTAATAGCTAAATTCAACACTTACGACATCTATGTTTTCGTAGAGCAGACACGAATTAGGTTTGAAAATGGGTTGGAAAACGATTGATGTCAAGTAAAATACAACTTAGGATATGGAGTTCAAGCTACTTAGTACAAATGGATTTGAATTTTCGATGTGGAACACAATAACTTGTGCCGAGCAAGGCCTGGCAATGCGAGCTAAGATATATGGTTTACTGAGAGTTAAATCAAAGTTCAATCCATCGAGATAAATACGCATTATACAAGAGAATAGATAGTATAGATATTTGTGGATTCTTACTTACCTTCTGCTAAAAGCTCGCACGCTTTGGTCTTAAACAAATGCGCAATTTGGGCTGCGTTTATTGAATGGATGATTGTTAAATTTGGTTTGTTGGTTTTGTGTGCGTTTCGTGTGTTATGTTTATTTAAGAGAGAATTTGAAGAACTTGTGATTAGAAACACTTTAGTTGTTGTTTTTTTGTTTTATTTTGCATAATTGGTTTCCCAGTTATAATCGTCTTTGCTTGGCGCCTTAGTGAACTTCTTTTCTGGCTAGTTAAGCTCTTTATACAATAAAATTGAACTGGTTAACAAAACGAACGAACGAACGAACGAACGAACGAACGAGCGAACGCATTGAACGTAGAAACTATGGAAACAAATGCGATTATGTTTTAGAATAGCTAGTATAGAAATGTTGACTAAATTGCAAAGTGAAGTTTCGAATTTTGTGCATATGTTTAAAGAACATTTTACTATGATTCGGATTATGATGTGCAACACGCAAGCATTCGCAGTTATTTAAAAAGAACACAATAGACTTATATCTTATACTCCGTTCAAAAAGTTGATTTGCCTGCCCTACATTAAGCAATTTGCATTGCTTGACGCGTTAAAATTCACAACAAGTTATGACATTGAACAACTGAAGTCGATAGCAACAACGGCTTATGATGGACACGAAGGACTTTCAAATATATATACAAGTATTTTAGTTGGGAAATATATAATACAATCTGTAGATTTGCAGCTGCTTTAACATCTTGAACCGAGTATTAGGCAGTCGGGAGTTGTTCCGACTTCAAAGTAATTTTGTAAATGATTTGGTTTTAAGCTTGTACCGAGGAATGTGGGAAGCATGCTTTAAGTGTTGTCTTTGCTGTAGGAGTTTCTATGGAACGGTCGGTAGTTGGGTGCAAGCAGGGCTGGGAGCTATTTACATGTTGCCGCCCAAAACAGGCCCAATATAAAGCCAATTCGAGACGGTTGGTATATGGTAATAGGTGTTTAAATTTCTGTACAGAAACCATCGCATAACTGTGTCCAGCTTATAGCAATTTTTTGAGGCTTGGACTTTGCATAATTGCTAAAGCGTTTTCAATTTTCCAACAGTTGACCAAAGTTATGTAAAGGAAGAAGAAGTGAAAAAACAAGTTGAAGAAGTGTTCGTAATGTGTTCGCATACAAGGAAGACAGCTTGAGCGAGAGGGGGGAACGACAAAAAAAAATATAAATGAATAAAAAAAAAAAACGAAGAGAACACGAAAAGTGGTTAGCTCTATTGTTGCTTTTGTTGTTGCAGGAAAGGTATGCAAAACAAAATGTTGTTCAACAAATTTTGAAATAAAACAAGAATTTGGCTTGTCAGTCAACTAACTAAAGTGGCAAACATGTAACTTGAAATATGACACAAAATACTGCCACTAGTTGGCCAACAACTTTGCGAGTACAATTCGTTATCGGGTTGAATGTTTCGGGGTTAGCTACATGGAGTAGGGTGTGTGCGAATGGGCCACTACGCTAGTATTTAACAGTATGTATTGATAGTGAGAACGAGAACAAGAACGAGAACTAGTATTATGCATATGGGCATTTCCACGAACAACATGAACAGAATAAAAAAAAATAAAAACTATATACTCAAATGTATTTTCACTAATTGATTGTTTGATTGATTTTCGTATTGTTTAGTATTAAATGAAACTGGAAAATTGAATTTTTCCTTTAAATTCCTAACGACTCGTGTCACTTTACAAATTATGACTTGCACGAATGAAGGAATTTAGGCTGCACAGTTTTTAAAATAAGTTAATTTATTGCAAATTAAAAATTACTTCTGTATTAGAACCAGCGACTTGCCAGTTCGACTCTCCCTGTTGCCCTGCATTTTATCAGGTAAAAGAAAGAAAGCATAAAAAAAGAAAGTTAAATTTCGCGAGTACTCCTCTTTAGCTTGATTTTAGAGAGATACCTACATAATTAGAACCAGCGATCTTCCGCTTGCTAGTTCGACTCTCCTAAATTTATTACTCATCAAGTTCCTTACAGCTTGTTGCGCTGCATTTTATAAAGTAAAAGCAAGAAACCATTAAAAAAAAGTTAAATTTTGCGAATACTCCTCTTTACCTTGATTTTAGAGAGCTAGCTAAATAATTAGGACCAGCGATCTCTCGCCTGCTACTTCGACTCTTTTTAATTTATTGCCTATTTAAGTCTTAACACATTGTTGCCGTGCATTCAATTTTTCTATAAAGCAAATATTTAAAAAAAATCCTCCTTAGCTTGTTTTTAAAGCTACCAACATAATTAGAACCAGCAACCTTGCGTAAGCCCTTGTTACCTTGTTGTAAGCACTGCGCATTTCATAAAGTAAAAGAAAGAAACCATAAAAAAAAATTAAATTCAATTTTGCGATTTTATGAAAACGAACTGAAAACTCCTCGCCATTGGCTTGATTTTATACAAGACAATTTAACCAGGGTATAAAATATGTAGAACATGTCTTTGTGTTTTTTGTCGCAATAAAGTCGCATGGAGTGTCACGTGCGTGACAAACCAGGAAATGCCCATATGCATGTTTGTATCTATGTATCTAGATATGTGCTAGGTATAACTGTAAAGAGTCGCTCACATTTTACAAATGAAAACGTTGAAGACATTTTGAGAAGCGTCATCAAATAACGCGCTGTCTCCGTTGCAACTGCTTCAAGTTGAGTTGAGTTGTGGCCAGGCGAGCCGGGACGAGGCGAGCCGGGACGAGGCGAGGCTCAAGCCAGAGTTGAGTGCCGTGCTTGCTTGATTTGGTGGTTCGTATTGCTAGCTAGCTAGTTGTTGCTTGGTATTGATGATGTTGGTGGTTGTGGTGGTGTTGTTGGTGTTGGTGATGAGCGGTAAGCGGTTGCGTTAGCGGTGTGCGGTGAGCGGTGGTGGGTGCAACATTAGCAGCGAATCATATGCATTTGCAACTATTTTTTTGTTTTTTTTTTTTTCATATATATATATATATATAAGTATATGGTTTATTGTTTATAATGACGCGTTAACATTAGTTTGTGACCTTTGTTCGCTTTCAAAGCTGCGACAGCTGTTGCCAAACTGCGCCGATTTCAGTCATGTGCATGTCATGCAAATCGTTGCGTACCAGAACCCTAGCAATTATCAAAAGTCGTTTGATGCCATTTTGCGTATAACGGAACCAACACTAAAGTGTTCCGTTAGCGATTGCCTTTAATCAATTGATTTGCCATGCATTTGCAAACTCTTTGGGCTTAACTTTATGCGCGTCGAGCACGCGATGCCCACGTCGAAGCAAAAGTTTAAACAAAAAAAAAAGAAGAGAAAAAAGTAGACCCGAGAGAGTGCCAATGACACCAAGTTTTGGTTTGTTGTTGTATGGCTGCCCTGCAGCCCCTGTAGCTGGGGCGGTTTGGAGGGCGCGTGCGATGACGTCGACGGCGGCAAGTGGTTGAAGTTGAAGGCGCAACGTGGCGAAAAATATAAATAAATGTGAAGAACGAGAAACGAAAGCACAAAACGAACAAAAAAAAAAAAAAAAAACCACCCTCCGCATGGCACCGGACGATTTGGGGGCGGCAGGAACAAGCGCTGACTCAGAGACTGCGACTGCGACAGCGACTGAGACTGAGTTGAAACACCGGGACAAATAACGGTGCTTAGCCAACTGCACAAATAAATTAACCAATAGCAATAATGAACCATAAACAGTTAGCGGTAAACGAAGCAACCAAAACGGATAACGCAAAATCTGCAGCCCACAGTGGCTCGAGATTGACCTGGCAACCAAAAAAAAAAATGTAATTGTCTTTGTTCAGTTTCTTTTCTTTGTCTTTGGCCCCAGTGTGCAGGCCATGTCGCACGCCATTCATGATTATATTTCGGCGCCTCTGGATGCTGTCACTCGATCGAATGGCGTACAGACAACAGACAACAGCAACAGCAACAGCAACAAAATAACAAATACAACAACAAAATCAACAACAACATCAGCAAGCGATGGACACATCGACTACTGTTTTGCCTGTTTGTTGTGTCTTTGGCTGTTCAGCCGCTTGACGAGTTTGGCTTGAATCACAGCCTTTTGTCCTTGTCTTTGCTTGGCTCAACTTTATCTTTACTTTTGCTTTTGAGGGCGCGAGTGTTTGTGTGTGTGTGTGTGTGTGTGTGCGTGTTTTCTTCTTTTTTTCAATTTCTTTTTACCATGCGCTTTATTGTTCAGCTTGAGTTTGTAAATTTACACCGTGCTGGCTGTTATTGTTGTTGTTGTTGTTGTTGCAGCGCGCGCTCCACACGCACACACACACACACACACACACACACACAAGCACTCGCAACACACATTGATACGCACATACACAGAGAGACAAAACACTGAAAAAAATAATTTTTATTTTGCGCACTGTTAGAAGGCAATTTAAGGACTTTTCAGCTACGCGTTCGAGTCAGGACTAAACCTGCAGGCGACATGCCAATTGGATTTCGATTTCTTCCGCTGCTGCCGATTACGACGCGAGAGTGCGAGAGAGCACTGCCACAATATAACGAGAGAGCGTGCGAGAGCGACGCTGCCAGCTGTGCATTTACGCTCTGCTTGTGTTTCTTGTTGTTGCTGCGCAAAGCAAGGCGCTAAAATTGAAATGCTCTGCTGGAAAATTAAGCGGCAACGAAACGTCATTAAAGTGACTTGAAATTTGTATTTAATTGTTTTACTAATCGACCAAAGAACATAATGCTTAAGCCTGCTAAACATATTATAATAGATTAAATGCTGAGTTGTTAGTGGGACAACAACTGCGCAGCTGCTTTCATTTGCATTGGAAAGCTTGAAAACATGTGACAAAACCAATTTTAGGCTGGCAACGTCGCTCAGCAAAACTGAGAGCGAGTCAACAAATATTATTTCCGCAATATTTTGACATTTCGAAGGGCAAAAGAGCGAGAGCGTCAATGAGAGAGAGAGAGAGAGAGAGAGCGACGAGGAGAGCGCTAACGATTCAGTCAAAATAATAAATTTTTAAATGCGAATACGCGCTCGTATCTGTGTGTGTGTGCGTGTGTGTGTGTGTGTGTGTGTGTGTGTGAGTTGGCGTGCGTACGTGTTTAACTGTAAGCACTAGGCAGAAAGTACGAGTTCGAGTCCGAGTATCTCGTATCTGAGTCAAAGACATGTTGCTACGACGCGTCGCGACGTCGCCCCCACTGACAACGACTGTGTTTTGCGTGAAGCGTGTGCGTGCGTGTGCTTGTGTGTGTGTGTGTGTGTGCGTAACATTGAGCTGTGTGTGTCCAAGATATTGAAGCATACTTATGGGCCTGCATTTGTTTAATTAAATTGACTCTGCCTTATTAAAGTCGCAAGCAGCATGGAAATCAAAGCCTCAATAAACTGTCAATTGACAATAAGCAAGCACTTTATATAATAAGTACGCTTCACATTGTCCACATTGTCAATACATTAACACACACTCCCAAGAACTCACACACACGCCGCACACACACACACACACACAAAGCACACATTCACGCTGGCGAACACGCGCGCGTTTCTGAATAGAACTGAGCGGGGAAATTTGATTTGATGTCAAAAATGTTAACACGTTTTACACAAAAATGTACAAAAACAATTTAAAAAAAAAAAAAACGCCAAAAAAAAATAACAACAATAAAGCAGATAAATACGCGATATTTAATCTGGCTAAGCAAACACGTTTTTATAGTTTCTGTTCAAATATTTTGAAAATACTTTGTCGTGTTTGAGAAATACCGTTTTGGGGGTTTGTGTACGCTGTAAAGTGCTCCAAATGCAGAGTACGCACTGAAACTGAAATTGAAACTGAAGTCATGCCTTTGACATTTGCAGCGCTTAACCTCAAAACGACGAACACACGATGACAATATCAGAGAGCGCCAGCGGCCGAGAGAGAGACGAAGAGAGCCGCAGCGCTGACGCATGCGCCAAAGATGTCATTGCCAACCCTCAGTGCAGACTTCGCGCATTCAGAGTTATGTAGCGGAAATGCACAATGCGCCCACTAGGGGGCGCAAGATTTAACAAAACTTCGCTGAGCTTTTTAAGCTGCAAGAGCTTTCATTGAACAGTTCTTGTCCTAGTGCAGCTTTGGATGAGCTTGCGAAGCTTGCTGCTTTTCGATCGAGCTCGCCTATGCACCAATCTGTTGAACTGTTAACTTTTAAGATTTCAGCTAAGAAATACTTGCCTGAATCTAATGCAATATTAAGCACCAGAAAGCTTTTTCAGGCCAAGCAAGTAAGCATGTTTGCAGTCGTATGTGACCGACTGCTCAATACTCTGTTCGGTGTGTAAAACTAATCGAAAAAAGTCTTCTGGATTATTATAGGTCGCTTTAAGGCTAAGACTTCATGTCATTGAGCAAGTTTGCTCAATGAAATAATGAAACAACATCCCAAATATATAACTAGACGTGTGCGTTGTCCTTTTCGAAACGTTGCTTTTAATAGGATATTTTCTCAATTCAGTAAATTGCTCAATAACACATAAGCTTATCGATTTATCGGACTATGTTTCTTTTTCCAATATCTGTCAAAGGATTTCTCCTTTTAAATATGTATTCGATTAGTTAACGATTATCTGGTATTCTCGCATTCCGATATATACATTTATCGATTATAATAAATATCGTTTATGTGGCCTTGCTTTTAACCTTATACCTATGCTATCAAAGGATTTCTCCGTGAAAACATTTATTCGGAAAATTAATGATAATTATAGTAATCCATAATATATGATAATAATTTGTTACTCTTTGACTTCGTCTTTTGAAGCTTAACCGTAAACTTGCAAATGCAACGAGTAAATTCCAACGAGTGTAAAAGTCGAGTACCCGAACACGCACACGCGCACACTCATACACACACACACACACACACACACACACGCACACACAGAGAGACGCACAAACTGGCTCTCACACATTTTGTTTTCACAACATTTTCCCACACTCACGCACACACACACACACCGCACACTAATACACACACCAACACGGATGGGTACGCGTGGCGCAAGGAATTTTAATTTTCCAACCCCCAGCGCACAGAGAAAAAAAAGCATTGCATACGTTCTGGGGCGCCGAAAGTAACGAGCGGCCGTAAGAGATGCGAATTGCGAGCAGGAGCAGGCGCAAAAGAGCGTAGCAGCCGCCCAACCACCCCACCGCCCACAGGCGAGGACGACGAAGACGACAGAGAGCTGCCTGCTGCCTGCTGCCCGCTGCTCGCTGCCCACACAGACGCCGGCAGAACAACCACCCGCACACACACACACATGCACGCACACAGCATGTCCCAGCGACTCTAGCGACAGCATCGACCCACCCAGCGACAGGGAAGGTATCGCAAAGCACAACAAACCGTAAAGCATTCGCGCCGCCTCGCAGTCACAGTCGCTGTCGCTGTCGACGGCGACGCTGATGCCGACGCTGACGCCGACGCCGACGCCAAACGCCAACGTCAGCAGTCCGTGTCCTTTGGTATGACAGGATGTGGACTGTGGGCCGTGGGCCGTGGGCCGCGGGCCGCGGCAGCGGAATGCGGACGCGCGGGGCCGAGTGGGACGCAGCGCGGGCGCATCGTCAACTGCTTCGCTTCCCAGCAGCTTTACCACTACATAAACAAAAATTCGATTTATGACCAGTGTGGACGGGGTGGACACGAGTGCGTCTCCGGCTGACTCTTGTTTTCGGCATAGACCTTTTGGTGGTGGCGCCATCCACCACCCACCACCCACCACCCGCCAACCATCAACCCCATCTCCTACGCACTCGATGTGCCTCTGCCTTGCTGCTAACTGCGACAGCAACGGCGGCCGTCGTGGCAATAACGTCAACGATAACGTGGACACGGAGGCGATGGCGATGGCGATGGCGATGGCGGAAGCGGGGGCGGGGGCAAGCACGAAGGCGGCAACATAGTACATGGCGCAGATGACGATGTGTGGCGATGTCAGGCGGCAAAATTCATGCACTGAGCGAAATATCACCATCAAATCTCCTACCTTTTGTTAGCCAAAGCTCCCCATATCAAAATTGAGAATCATATTTTTATAAGAAAAACACAACTTTTAAGCTCTTCACACTCTGCTAACAATATTTTCTATACTCAAAATTAAAAAAATATTGACTTATTTTAATAATGAGAATAATATTTATTTTTGTACAAAATACTTGATTCTGAAAACGATGAGAAAAACTACGAACAAAATTGCTGCATATTCAAAATATTTGATCAAGAAATTCACTTTAGCTTAAAATCCAATTCAAACTTCAAAACTGTGCATGATATAGATATCCTTAAATTGGAATGGCCTAAGAACTTTCAAGCCTGCATGCTATCGATATTATAGATTCGATAGTTTTTGCATGTTGCCAAACTGTTTTTTTGTTTTGGTCTGGCAACCTTTTTCGCGCAGTGTAATCAACAATGTCCTCGTCCTCGCAGTCAGCGTTCTCGTCGTTGTCGTCGTCATCTCAATTCGCGTGTATAAGCCCCCGTCTCCACCCCCCCCTCCCCTCCCCAACCCCGCCACACTTCCTTCACAGCACACACACACACACACACACACGAACACACACAGGCATACAAACGTACAAGGGCCTTCGGTCGCGCTGTGCACGGGCTTTCCATATAGACGACGGAACGGCGCGACTTGCCTGAGCTTTTGGTTTGCGAGAGTCTGCTTGCGTGTGTGTGTATGTGTGTGTGTGTGTGTGTGTGTGTGTGTGTGTGTGTGTGTGTGTGTGTGTCTTTGTGGCGTTTTGGCGGCGTCGCTCGCAGAAACTTTTTCGCACTCCAACACAGGCTCACAATCGCAATGACACACACACACACACACACACACACACACACACACACACATACACATACAGCAAGCGCGCGCAGGCACACACATACATAGATATGGAGAAATGGCTGGCGCTGCGACAGCGACGCGGCTGCGGCGGCGACGGCGACGGCGACGGCAACGACAACGATGGCTGCGACGAGGACATACACATAAATAAAAAGTCCTTCATTCCGACGCGACCAGCGAGTAACGGCATATGAACGCTGCGGAGAAAACGCTCGAAACAGGCTAAAACGGCGGATTACCAAACAACAGCAAGAGCCTAAATATAAATAAATATAAAAACAACTACAACAACAGTTTAACAACAATTAAAAAAAATAAAATAAAAAAAACAGCTAACATTTTTAAACATTTATTTATTTTTTTTAATAAATTCTTTTGGAGTGCGTGCAAAATCAAGTGAACAGTGAGAAAAGAAAAAAAAAAAAAAAAAACAATCAAAGCGAAGCGAAGAAAACGCAGTAAGCAAATGACAAAAAGTGCAGCGGCGGCGAAGGCGAGGCGTCTAGCACCCGCCCCCCACGCAGCACTGGCCCGCAGCCCCTGCCCCGCTCAATGAGCGAACACACTGGCAAGCATTGGGTGGGTGTCAGACTCCCACACACGCACACATGCACACAACGTGGAATGGCAAAAAAAAAAAAAAAAAAAAAAAAAAAAAAAAACACACACATATAAAATAAAATAAATGATAAAATAATTCTTTGAAGAGCAGACAACAACAAATAACAAAGCCGCTGCACGCCCTTCTCAACAGCAAGGCGCAACAAATTAATGCAATTGTTTTTCTTATCCCTTTTGTTGTTATTTTTGTAAAGAGTGTTCCTTTCCCTTTTTTTTTTTCGTTTTTTTTTTTATTAATAGCTTTTTTGTGCCTGCCTTGCAATTGTCCTGTGTGAGTGGGGCGTAGGCATAACAGCTGCAATCGGAAAGCGCTGCGCTGTCAGGCAAAAAATTACGATATTGGCGAGAAATTCGGAAAATCAGACAAAAAGAAAAACACACACACACACACACACACATATACGTGAAATATAATAATAAGTGCAGAAAGAACAACAAAAGCGAGTCTCAAATGAACGCAAAAAAAAAGTGAACGAAAGGAACGTCGGCGTTGCCACTCGGCGCAGTGAAACGCACGCAGGCAACGCCAAAGCTACAGCGAGTAACGGGACCTAACGAGCTTTTCGTTTTTTTTTTTTTTTTTTTTGTGTTTGTTTCTTTCCTTTTTTTGCGCTTTCGCGCTCGCTAATTTTGGCTCCCGCTGCTTCTCGCTCGCTCACGTTGCGCTGCATGCGTCGGCGTCGACGTCGACGTCGCAGCTCGGTGTGTGAGTGTGCGCGCGCGTGTGTTTATGTGTGTGTGTAGGTGTGTAGCTGCTGTACGCGGGTGTAGATAAAACGACACTTCGTATTCCGTTCCAACAATTTTTCTTTGCGTCTCACCAAATAGCTACAATTGCAAGAACAGGCAAACAAACAACAATAACAAAAACAAACACACAACAATAATATCAAATAAACAACAACAACAACAACAACAGCAACGGCAACAGCAACAGCAACAGCAACATTGGAAAGCAGTGCAACTAAGCAAACGCAAGCAATGCAACAGCAACATAAGCAGCAGCAAAAACAACGAGTGTAGTGTGTGCGTGTGTGTGTGTGAGACTGTGTGCGTCCGTTAGCATCTGTGCGTGTGTGTGTGTGTGTGTGTGTGTGTGTCTGTGTGTGCAGCTCGCACGCGGCGTGTGTGCGTGAATAATGAAGAAGAAGCAGAAGCAAAAACAGCAGCAGCAGAGGCTAAGAGAGGCGCCAAGAGAAGCATCGCCAGCGACGGCGTCAGCGACAGCAACAGCAACAGCAACGGTAGCAGAGCCCGAGAGAGGCGTCGTCAGCAGCAGCAGCAGCAGCAGCAATTCGCGACGCAGCAGCAGCAGCAGCAACAACAACAAATAGCAAAAACTGAGCAGCGTTCGGCAAAGCGCAATCCAGACAACAATATCAACAACAACAACAACAACAACAGCAACAGCAACAACAACAACTAAACGCTGCCAGGCCGTTCAGCAGCAGCGTGCAACGACGCCAATTAGCGGCGGCAGCAGCAGTCGCAGCAGCAGCACCAGCAGCACCTGCAGCAGCAGCATCGCTAGCAGCAGCAACAACAACCACATACACAACAACAACAACAACAACAGCAGCAAGGCAATTGCTGATGCAAACATGTCAAAAGCAACAACAGCAACTGCGTCAGCAACATCAACATCAACGTCATCAGCAGCAGCAGCTAGCAGCAACGCGGCCGATTTTAGCGCATTCGATTTTAATGATAGCTCCGATAATTCCGATACGCCTTTAGTGCCACGCGCGCCGTTCCTCAGTCGCGCCGCAGCTGCTGCAGCGGCGGCAGCAGCAGCCGCATTGAGCGCCAGCAGCGCCAGCAACAGCAACAGCAGCGCCAATGTGGGCAACAACAATGCTAACAGCAACAACAATGGCAACTCGCTGAGCAACAACAGTTTGCACAGCAGCAGCCAGCACAACAACAACAACAACAACAATAACAACAGCAGCAGAAGTAGCAGCAGCAGCTCGCACAGCAGCGACGACAGCAACAGCAGCGCAGCAGCGGCTCAAGCAGCGGCCGCAGCTGCGGCCACGGCAGTTGTGGCTGCAGCGGTAAACGCATTGCACAATGGCAAACAACAGCAACAGCAGCAGCAGCATCAAGAGCAACATCATTACAATAACAACAACAGCAGCAGCAACAACAATAACAACAACAACAACAACAACAACAACAACAACAATGGCAACAACAAAGGCGAAATTGATGAGGAGGAGGAGGAACAGCTGGAAGAGGACGACGAAGACTATGACGATGAAGAAGACGAAGATGAGGATATCATGGATCAGCACATTGGCAGCAGCAGCAACAACAACATGAACAACAACAGCAACAACATAAACAATGTGCATGCGCTGGTGGCGGCGCCGCCCGCACTGCCCGCCGATTTGCGGCACGGAATCAGCTCGCACGATCAGAGCCAGGAGCCGGCGGACTACGATGACGAGGATGAGGACGAGGAAGACGATGACGAGGATGAGGATGCGGCCAGCAGTCATCTGGACAGCCGCACGGCGCTAACATCAACGCATCTGAGCAGCAGCGCCGCCGCCGAGAGCAGCGGCTTGCACATGAGCGCAGTGGCCGCGGCCGCGGCAGCAGCAGCAGCTGCCGCAGCAGCAGCAGCGGCTGCCAAACTGAATGCTGCAAATGTGGCGGCCGCACAGCTGGAGCATCACAGCCAGAATGCCAGCTCGGTGCTGGACATGGTCAGCAATGTTGGCGGCAGCATGGGCCTCGGCATTGGCGGCGGCAGCAACAGCATTGCTGCGCCGAGCAGCCTCATCGGCGGCAACAGCAACACCAGCTTTTCAACGAACAACAACAGCAACCATGCGCTCAGCTCGACTTTGGGCAGCGGCATTAACTGTGGCAGCAGCGAGCAGCAGCCCTCGCGTCACAGCAGCAGCTCGCATCAGCAACACCAGCAGCAGCACCCGCAGCAGCAGCAGCAGCAGCACCAACAGCAGCAGCAACTGCAACATCAGCAACAGCAGCAGCACCAACAACTGCACCAGCAGCAACAGCAGCAACAGTCAAGCAGCGCCGGCAGCGGCAGCGGCAGCGGCAGTGGCAGCGCTGCCAGCGAACGACGCAAATATCGCCACCAGAACTACAGCAAGAACATCTACATTGGCACCAAGAACGCCGAGAAATGGGAGCACATGCGCACCCGGCTGCAGTTCAAGAACGACGTCGAGTTCGTCGCCTACCTCCTGAATCTGGCCGATAACGATACGGATCGGCTTAACAAGTGAGTACAAACATGAATCGTAATGTAAAAATCAGTTTCATTCAACACAGAGTCGATTTCAACTAAAGATCCAGTTCGTTGGAACTAGTTCACAGAGCTTATCCAGTATAAATCCGAAGGAAAGAAAAACGTGGAAGGAAATGAAGCTAGAAAGCAACTCAATTCCCTTATATAAACACGTTTAATCAGATTGACTGACTGACTGACTGATTGACGTACTGACCGACCGATTCCTTGCTTTTTAATTCCACCCGCAACTGTGGAAAATGAATGGGAAATCATGAAATGCATCTTTTATGCTTACAATCCGTTTGACTTCGAACTCACTTTTAAAGTTCCTGGGGAAAATCCATAAAATATGTTGTTCACACTCAAACTTGAGTTGCATGAACGACCCTTGAATTCAATTTTTCAATAATTTCTAAAAGGTGCTTACATACAAACTTAATAGATAAGGCTTACTCTTAAGCGTTTGGATGTAAAATATATATTTTAAGACGTAAGATTGAAAAACGAACGGAAAAACATCTTTATAAGTTAGCACAGATTAGATCTTATGAAAAAATCAAATAAAAGAGGGCTTAACTATGTCAACAGAGGGTACGAAATCCGCAGACGAGAGGCCACATAACGATTTTTGTGAATCTACCTCGTTTAATCCCTGAGCTATGCTTAAAGAAGTTACTATCAAAAAGTGAAAAGATATCGAAGTAAAAAACTAGCTGGCATTTATGTATTTCCAATTTCAAGTCTCGAACTTATAAATTTGGCCAGATCAGACTCAGCTACAGGCCTACACAGCATCAACAATTGACTGCAGTCTCTGAAAGCTTAAACTTGTTGCGAATTTTAACGCGTTCAAAAGAAAGCGAGCAACGTCGTTGTTTTTAAACGAGGCTTTGGTTTACAGCTCTGTTGCTGTAGATGCTTAGACCTAATTAATTAAAAAGCGGGAACTGAGTGAGATAAATGGGCGCAACTAGTTTTCCATTTGAAATATTCAATTTAATACATATATTAATATTGAGTCTGTCTCTTGCTGCAGTATCCCTAGGATTTCTATTGACAATCCTAAAGCGGATTGATCTTAAATATCTTTGAAGGCATTTCTTTTAACAGAATGGCTTCAGATACCCCTTGTTAAGCCGGTTGCAAATGAGATAGCATCTACTAAGCGTGGCATCTTTCTCTTAGCAGACAGCAAACCTAGTTAGTTTAATAAATTGGAGGAGCATTGTGTTTTTTTTTTTTTTTTTGTATTATTTTATTAGTAGAGCCAATGGATTTAGCCATATTGAAAGCCACCTTAATAGCACGTTTATTGCTCCAACGCTTCCAGCTCCATTAGCTCCAGTATAGGTTCGTCAATATAAATTCACTTGTCGGTTTCTTTGGCTAGCATTAATAAATCACCCATGTAAAACATTTGAATCGAAAGTCCAAACAGAAAAACCACTAAAATGCTCTTAAGCTAACATCAATTGTCCTGGCTACAATCTCTGATACAGGATGTTCGCGAGCTCGTTTTATCGAGCGTCCTTTCCGGACTTGTTGTATAGGTTTCGGCCATTGAGCTCGACAACTTACTCCAATTGTCAGAGGTGCGGACGAGCAAGCGCACCCTGTCCATGATCCTTTTATAGAGCTCAAGGGGTACCACGGTTTGCAATTTGCACAGCAGAATATGTGGATCGGCACAGATCATAATCGCATTGGCAAAGTAGTGGACGGCCCTGTCCCAGTCATCGCGCCGTACATATGCTTCACCCAGATACACGTGCCGCAAAAAGTATTCGACCACTTCGGCATTTAGCGGAAGCTTGCAGTTGGCGGATTGCGGTATTTCCAGTTGCCTTCGCTCGTGAACTTTCCGTCTGTATTGAGGATCTTTGCAGCGTTTGTGGTCAAAATAAATGCAATAGCTAACGAATGCCAGTGCTGCCAGACCGAACAATATCAGCTTGTGGCCACTAAATTTGAGCATTGTTTTCTGAATATGCTACTCCACACCTTAAATTTGGCCCGACGAAAATATTTGATATTCAGATATTCAGATGTCAAAAATACTTAGTAACTGATTACATTTTGAGTGACAGCACTCGACGTAAATTACTCAAGCCGTGCCGATTTAAAGCCGATTCAAATTATCCCAAACTATCCCACTAATTCCAAAACATTCATAATGGCTGAAATTTGGTTAGCTTAGCTCTCTTAGGCTACAAATTCTGATTGGGCATTTGGGTCTCTAGCTCTCTCTGCAATCGTTCCGCTTATACAGACAATTTCGACCAACAGCGCTGCCATCATATTTGGATGTGGAAACACTGGTAATGGCATTTAATTTAACAGCTAGTTAAAGTGACACGTAAAGTACGTAAACTTTTGAACAGGCACCTTGGCGAACTCGTTAACTGGATGTGACATTTAATTAAACGCCAGCTTAACTGGACATTGTACGCCATTTTGAATAGGCACTCGCCCAGCAGGTCTCGGCAGGCCGTCAAAAGCTTAACATGTCTAACATGTTGGCGATCGCTTTCGCAGAGCTTTATTCGCATTCTCTGCTGCTGGCCCGTGCACAGCTAATTATTTGCCTTGATTGCATTTCAAACGGAAGTCAACAAAGCTTTGTGAGAGCACATTACATTATGACGCTCTCTCGCTCGCTGCTCAAAAGCGAATGCCCGCACAAAAGCACAAAGCATGAACTGTGGCGTGGCCAGGCGCAACGGGCAAGACGTGGCGAGATGTGGCGGGGCGGGACGGAGCGAACTGAGTTAAGTTGAGTAAAGGCGAATTGAGTTGAATGAAGAACAAGAACAAAAGCCGCAAAAGGCAGCCAAAGATATGGCAACGCTCCGTTGCCCAAGATTGTTGATAGTTGAAACGATGTCGACACACGCACACACACACAGAGAGGGAGACAGAGAGGGGGAGAGAGAGAGAGAGAGCGAGCGAGAGACAACTTTTGGGCAACACACGCCGTGTTACCACGTCTGCCGCGAACTGCGAACTGTGTTGTTGGGTTGGTGGGCTGGTGGGCTGGTGGGTGGGTGGGTTGGCTAAGTGCTGGGGAGGCGGCGCCGCAGCACAAAAGCGAGCCATGTTAAAGCGATTTATGCCCGAGTGCATCAGCGCCCCAACCAGCCCGACAGCCGGCGTTGTTCCCGCTGAAATCTACAATCGACTGCACCCTGTGCCAGCTACAAAGGCACAAATGCGGCATTCGTGCGGTTGCATGCAACGGCGCTTTCATGTTGCCTGTGTCGCAGCCTGAGCCCGAGCCCAAAACCGAGAACGAGCCCGAGCCTCAGCCAAAACCGGAGCCCGCTGTGTGCAACGTCGTTGCAGCCGCCATGTCAGCGGAAGCGGAAAAAGCAACACACATGCATACAACAAACAGAGAAACATACACACACACACACACACACACACACACACACACACCATCAGACGCGGGCACATACTTAAGCAAGATTGAACAGCATGCGGCTGCGTCTGTTGTTGTTGTTGTTGTTCCTGTTGTTGTTGTTGTTGCAACAACATTTTGCATGCATTTGCATGCCAGCGAGTGTGTGTGTGTGTGTGTGTGTGTGCATTTCATGGCGTTGCCTTCGAGTCGCAACCAAATCAAAAGCCCCCAACCCGAACATCTATCGAAAATGCGCGGCGTGTTTTCTGCATTTACTGTTGCCTTGCCACGCCTTTCATGCAATGTTGTTCAGGTTGTTGTTGTTGTTGTTCAGGTTGTTGTTGTTGTTGTTGCAACATGCCCACCATTTGGCGCCTTCCAAATGCAGATGCCAATGCTTAAAAAGTTGATTAATTTTGCCTTCATGAACTGTTCAAAGCCAAAAGCCATGGCAAATTTAATCAAAGCAAAAGTCAGGCAAGTACATGAATATTATTGGTAGATAATAAGCATGATAACTGATCGTGATAAAATGTAGCGCTACAATATTTTATACTGAAATCAAGAAAAGTCGCTTATTGCTTTAAGTTCTTCAATATTGTCAAGCCTTTCGCCTGGCTTGAGAGGCTTGAGAGCTGAAGCCGAAGAGATCAGCAAAGCTCTAAGAAGTTCAGGGCATTGAGTCTTTCCCTCGCTCTACTTCTGTCTACCAAAACAAAAACTAATTGAAAACTATTTGATCTATAAAGATCAACTAACTAATTAACTAAGCTTAACTAACCAAAAAAAAAAAAAATGTTTATCAGCTGTGTTGCAATTCTTTTCCTGTGTCCCTGGTGCTCCATTGCACGTTTCCCAAAGCGGCTGCAGCACACACACACACACAGAGAGAGAGAGCGAGAGAGAGAGACAGGCAGACAGACAGAGAATGTCGCCTTAGCTTTTCGTTCAGTGTGTGTTTATTTCGTTTCTCGCATTTCGCCCATGTCGCCAATTTCTGCGCATTTTCGACATCTCGCCCAAAAGCACAAAAACCAGTCATGAGTGGGAATGCGGCTGCAGGGGGCCTTTGCATGTGTGCGTGTGTGTGTGTGTGTGTGTGTGTGTGTGTGTGTGTGTGTGTGTGTATAAGGATGAGTGTACTTAATGCGCCAACGAGTAACGCACACGAAACGAACACCACAAACTGAATCAGATTCCGAATCAGCCCCCATTGAAACTCATCAGCCCCAGCCCAAAGCCCAGAGCAACCCCCGCGACGCCCTCAAGCAGCACATTAATGGCAAAGCAACAGCAACAGCAGCAGCACACACACACACACACACACGCAGGGAAATAAAGAGAAAGAGCCGAGCACAGCAGAAACAGAAACAGAAACAGAAACACAAACAGCCAACTGTAAATTCAGAACAGAACACACTGAAAGCCGCGGCTGAAGCAGAAGCAGAGGCAGGGGCAGAGGCAGAGGCAGAGGCAGCTGGCGGCGAACCGAAAGCGTGTGCGACGGGTCGAGGGGTATTGGGTTTAGGCTGTTTGGTGTGTGAGCCACAAAGTGGAGCAGGATAAGTGGTGCGAGTGGTGGCCGGTGGGTAGAGGGGGGCGTAGTGGGATTCGCCTGCCTGCCGCTTGTTTCTTTGGTGCTGGCGCTGTTTTCGATATTGTTGTTAAGGTCCTAAGGTGGAGGATTTAATGAAGGATAACACAAATACACACACACACACACACACACAGGCACAGAGACACATACACGCAGACAAAGTGACGCACAACGTACGCGTTGCTGCGGACCATGTGCAATTTTCAGCGACAACAACAACAACAACAACAACAGCGACAACAACAACAACAGCGACAGCGACAAGGACAACAACAACGTGGCCGTATTACAGTGAACATGCGGCGTTGTGCTGATGAATTTCCTGTGCACGAAGCACAGCTGAGAATAGGTTAATGGATGTGTGTGGGCTAAAGAGGGTAACGGGCGTTGGGGGCGGGGGCGGCAAGCAGCCAGTGGGCGTAGCATCAGTGCTTGGAATAGATATTGTATATGGTATGCGTGTGCATATCATGCTGCCCGCCTTGGAGCTGGTAATTAAAGGCGGCCCACTGGCGGCAACTGGCATCCATATGGCATATTATTCACGATGCTAACCAAATGCTGGATTCAACGAATACAAGCAACAAACAGCTTAGGGTGGGAGTGGCAGGTGAGGTTAACTTGCATGCGGCCAGCAACAGCAACAGCAACCAGTTGCACCCAATTGAAGAGCTGATCTGCAGTGGAATTACAAAAGTCTGCTGCAGCTGCCATCGGGCCAACGATGGGCGGGGAATTGATGGCCTGCATGGAGTGCGGGCAATGGATTGATTGTCCGCCTGGTTGTGGCACCTGAAACGTGGGCATGTTGCGAAACAGCCAGGCAGGCCAGGAACTAGGCAGGAACTAGGACTCAGCTGGACAAATGCATCACAAGTACCTTAGTACGATCAACAAAGGGAGCTGCGGGGCAGCAAAGTGCCGAAGTTTGAATACCCTAACAAACATCTTTGTCCATAGTTAAAGTATTATTATTATTATTATTATTAATATTATTATTATTATTATTATTATTATTATTATTATTATTATTATTATTATTATTATTATTATTATTATTATTAATATTATTATTATTATTATTATTATTATTATTATTATTATTAATATTATTATTATTATTAATATTATTATTATTATTATTATTATCATTATTATTAATTTAATTATTATTATTATTATTTTTATTATTATTATTATTATTATTATTATTATTATTATTATTATTATTATTATTATTATTATTATTATTATTATTATTATTATTATTATTATTATTATTATTATTATTATTATTATTATTATTATTATTATTATTATTATTATTATTATTATTATTATTATTATTATTATTATTATTATTATTATAATTATTATTATTATTAACATTATTATTATTTTTATTATTATTATTATTGTTAATTGTAAATTATATTTTTATATTTATTGTTATGTACTTTAACCATAATTATACGATATTCATTTAATAGCCTCGGATTCAAACCCAGTTCCTAGATTGTTCAGTTAAATTTGAATCAAATTTAAATTACATTTTCTTTTGTTGGGAGCGTCAGACTAGAATATACCCTGCACTCTGATCCGAAATATCATGCACTGCACACGCACTTAATGATACATATTATTAATATTAAAATAACTTTTCATTAAGATGAATCCCAAAAATGCATCAAAAACCGAATAACATGTTTAATGCTCTTTAAATATCTAAGATATTCTCATCAAAAATACTTTTACTATATATATTTTTTTTCAATTAATGCAAAAAAAAAAAGTTTCGTTCCCAAAAGAGCTGAGATATTCGATATTCGAATTATGTTTACGTTCAAATTAGTCGAGGATCCTAATACTAATCCTCTAGATAATGATAATGATAATGATAACGATAATAATAATGATAATGATAATGATAATGATAATGATAATGATAATGATAATGATAATGATAATGATAATGATAATGATAATGATAATGATAATGATAATGATAATGATAATGATAATGATAATGATAATGATAATGATAATGATAATGATAATGATAATGATAATGATAATGATAATGATAATGATAATGATAATGATAATGATAATGATAATGACAATGATAATGATAATGATAATGATAATGATAACGATAATGATTCAACATAACTGCAAAATGATAAATCGATCGAATATAACTTCCAGAAATAAGAATTATTCCGATATTAAAGAAGTCTTTTTCATTGAAAGTTCTAGTCTAAAATCGTTTCAACAATTCAAACAATATTTTTAAGTGCAAAGTACGATAATGAAAAATAATATTTGATTCCTTTAAATAATTGAAGTCAACTCGGAACGGACCTAAATACCTCTTAAATACCTCCACGCACATATATGCTATTCTTTACGATATTCTATTCTGCATGTACTCCATAAATCCAATTAGAAAATGGGCGAACAAGTAATACTAAAGTCGAGTAGTTATTCGGATAATTGAAGTCAGCTCAAATCGGAATAGCTTTAAATACCTCTCGAGGGCTTATCCATGTACATATATTATTCTATTATTCTGTACCCATTTCAAAATATTCTGATAGATCCACGATATTCTATTCGACATTCACTCTCACAAATCTCCAATTAAATTTGCATTGAACAAGTACGACTGAAGTCCTACAGAATCAGTATTGACGATAATAAAAAAAAAAGAGTTTTCGATTCCTTTAGTTAATTGAAGTCAACTCGGAATAGTCTTAAATACCTCTTGAGGATTTTGTCCATGTACATAATATATGTTATATATGTTATGCTGCATCCATTTGGAGCAATTATGATGGCTCCACGATGTGCTCTACTGCATTCAGTATATAAATCCCAATTGGAAAGGGACACAATCCTTTTAAATCCGCATTGAACAAGTATTATTGAAGTCCTACAGCTGCTGTCGCTGCTTAACCAGCGCCTGGCAGCGGTCCAGCTTATATTTGGGCGCAGAATTGCGAGAAGAGCGTTAGAGAAATTAATTAAACGCAGGATAGCGAGAAATGAGAAGGACAATGGGGACATGGGTGGGGACGATGTGCTCGACTGTGGACTGAAGGACGACGACTGCTGGCGTTGGCAGTGGGCGTTGGCAGTGGGCAGTGGGCGTGGGCATGGAGGCAGCAGGCGTGAACGTGACGCCATGCATGGAAATAACGCATTTGGTCGACCCACTTTTGGCTGCGCACCACTAATCAACATTTTCCCCACGCCCTGTGTCACTCTTTTTCTATTTCTGTCCGTCTCTTATTCTCTTTGCAGCCTGCCGCCACCATCGCCGGCACACACGCCCACCAAGGGATTCGATGGAAACTTCAAGCTGGAACCGAATCTGAGCGTGAAAGACTTTGCCCCACCGCCAGAGAATGGCAACGGAAATGGCAATGGCTGCCTCGAGTCCGGCGGCCCGTCCGTTGCCATGGCCACGCCCACGCCGACGCAGCGCAAGCGCTACAAGAAGCGCGTTCAGTTCACCACCGACGCCCTCAATGGCTATGCCGGCTCCAAGGCCAAGGGTGGCGCTGGTGCTGGCGTTGCAGCTGCTGGCGCTGTCGCAGCCGGCGGCTACAACAACAATAATAATAACAACAACAACAACAACAACAGCTTTGGCACAACAGTCAAGTCAAAGAAGCAGGAGGCCAAAGCGGCCGCGGCTGCCCTGAAGGCAGGCGCAGCGGCAGCGGCAGCTGCAGCAGCAGCAGCAGCAGCCTCGTCGGCACTGCCCGAGGTGCTCGACTGTCGCATCGCGGAAAAGATCAAGAGCGAACTGGAGGCCTGCAGCAAGGAATCCCTGCCAAGTGCACTGTGTCTCAAGAAGGCTGCTGCAGCTGCCGCAGCCGCTGCAGCGGCAGCGCGTCACAGTGACGACGACGAGGACGAAGAGGACGACCATCATCATCAGGCACATCAACAGCAACAGCACCAGCACCAGCAGCTGGCGGCGCCGACTGCCACGGGCGCCGCACACATCTCCACGGCATCGGCCGCGCTGGTGGGCACTGGCTGCGGCGGAGCGGACATGGTGGATGCCAGCAGTGCCAGCAACGGGCAGCTGGGCAACTTCCATGTGCGAACCAAGAGCCAGGCGGGCAGCAAGAAGTCGCAGTCCGCGAAAGCAGCTGCTGCAGCGGCGGCGGCAGCAGCAGCTGCAGCGGCAGCCATGATGCCGCCGAACAGCTATGATGAGCCGGAAGATGATTCGGCTGTTGGGCCGGGCGATGATGATGACGAGGACGATGAGGAGCTGGACGAGGAGGCGCTGGCGCGTGAAATGAAAATGGAGCAGAACTTTGTGGAGGAGGAGGATGAGCATGATATTGCGTTCCGATCGCAGCAATCCTGCCGCGAGTGCTCCATCTCACATGACCACAAGCTGTGCCCGCTGCGCAATGCCTGCGGCAATGTAACGGACGCAGTGGATCTGGCTGAGTGGATCGAGCGGCGCAATCTGGAGGCTTTGGCTAAGCTAAAGGCGGACGCACAGCGCCAGGCCAAGGTGGGCAGGCCGCGTCACGATGACGATGAGGACGACATGGAGGACATGGACATGGACGAGTCTTCGCAATTGTCCGAACTGGAGACCAAGCCGCTCATTACCTTCGCCGAGGCCTCGGTGCCCGCCGAATTCGAGCTGCACAACGTGGAGCCCAATGTCACCGGCGTCTTTGCCCGCACCGAGGTCCGTGCCTACACCAAACTGGGCCCGCTCATCGGCCAGCCGGTGCAGAGCGGCGAGGTGCGCGAGGGCAGCGACATGAAGTGGATATTCGAGATGTGCGAGGCCGGCGCCGATAAATCCTATCTGCTCTGCTGCGATAATCCCAACGCATCCAACTGGCTGCGCTTCATCCGGCCCGCGCCCAGCTACGAGGAACGCAATGTCAATCTCGTTTCCATCGATCGCCAGGCCTACTTTGTCAGCTGTCGTGATCTTCGCAACGGCATGGAGCTGCTCTACTGGAGTGACGACTGCAACACCATGTGGCGCAAGAAGCACACAGAGAAGACAAGTAAGTCGGCCAGCATATGGCCCGTTGTCATTAACATTTATGTATGTTAGCCCAACTAATTGGTTAACTAGATGTTAGTCATCAAATCATGCAATGATTACTTATGGGTCTGGCAATCTTGACAAGCTGATTCGTTTATGGTTCAATAACATTTGCTGAGACTATCTGACATCTTCCTATCAAACTTGTCACGCGCTTTAACATGTTGTCAAACAGAGTCTCAATCATACTGCTAAACTACCTATTATAGTCTGCTGTCTATTTATCTGACTGCTAAGTTAGCTATTATTGGCACATATGGCAGTATCAAACAAATATCTGTGAATCCAGCTGGTAAATACTTAACATGAAGATATAAACTTAGTATGCATGGATATAAACAATTCGTGGCGTTGCCACATTTTCATATTATTTTCTATAAAACTGAACTTTCGATTCTTCAGTCCGATAATTTAGCCAAGCTGATTCGATTGCCAATACTATTGCTCTTCCTTAACTTGTTGTCACATTATTCTTCATTAAAATCTATCAACCTCGCGGGTAAATAGTTAACGAGAAGTTATTACGCTGACTTAAAGCCCCATCATTCTCCCATGCCACATGCTTGTCTTTTAAGCCAAAGCTTGAGTGCACCTTCAACAAATGTCATTGTGGATTGTTATGAATTGCATTGAGTCAACACTTACTCATCGTTTTCTCTATTATTTTCCGAAAAAAAAATAAAAATAAACAGACTGCGGTGGCTGCAATTTGAAGTTCGAGCATCCGCTTTACTATCGCACACACTGCTCAGTTTTTCACGATCCATCGATGAGCCTAACCATACGGAAGTACCACTGCAAGGTGTGCGGCGAGGCGGTTCTGGGCAAGGACAACATCATGAAACATGCGGCCGAGAAGCACGACGGCAAGGGCGCCTATCAGTGCCAGTTCTGCAACAAGTTTTTCCTACGCCTCAACTATCTGGAGATGCATCGCACCTACGGCTGTGCCTCGAACCCGAACCGATCGCGGCCGGTCTGCGATTTCTGTGGTCGCAAATTCTGTCAGCCGCAAAAGCTGAAGGCGCACATTAAGCGCGTCCACAGTGGTAAGTTGCGAATATGCCACGCCTTCCACATAGAACGTTAATACTTGCGTAAATACGTAGAAGTCTGTATATCGTAAGCGTATGCAACAATAGCGGAGAATATTGTAAGCTCGTATATCGTATATCGCATATCGCATTTCGTAAACCGCATATCGTATATCGTATATCGTAAATTGTATATCGTAAATCGTGTATCGTAAATATAAACTACACCGACGCTCTACTGCTTCTCCATAGTAATGTACTAAACACTCTTCACCACATCCCAATAGAAACACACACACACACTAACCAATATCGTATGTACTAATATCGTAAAATAACGCAACCTGCTTAGCCGTAACTACTAACTAACCACTTAAGCACACAATCACCATCAGTCACCACAACAACACCCACCCACACTCAAAACACCCATTTGTGATCGCTCATCCTCATGCCTCTTCAGTTGTATGCCTAATTGGTCGAAACCATTTTTATATGCTTGGTTCATTTCTTAACAAGTTTAGTTAATACACATCACACAGATCAAAAGCACACAAACACCTTAACGGGAAAACTAACTCATGCCTGAACAGTTATAATTAGACTACGAATTGGCAAGGAACTTGCTTTAATAAATATTATTGATTTTCCCTTCAATCAAAAAATATGACACTTATTTCGAAAACCTTCTTGCTTAGCCAAATGCAACTAACATAAGATAAGGGATGAGCCACAGTGTATATGAGTATATAAAAAGGAAATCTTCTGGCATATCTTACGATATATCTTTTAGAATTTTTTAAATATTTCAAGAAGTTTTAATTTGGTTCCCAGTGAGGAACTGTGGTGGCACATCTTTAGAATCTTTCAACTAGATGTACGTAGAGTTATTTGTGTCATGCTAGATTTTATTTAAATTCGATTTCGACAATGTTCAAGTTTAGTTGAAGAGTCATTTCTGAGAATGGATTAGTGTCCCGGTCTCTCACTTAAGCTAAGTAGCTGCTCTGTCATATTCCATGTTTTGCAAAATGTAAATATGATTAAAAAAAAAAAATAAAATATTTTTGAAAAATTATTCGCCTCAAGCATTAGCTCATATTCAATAATAAATATGCATAACAAAAAAAAAACTTAGTAATTTGCTTGATCAAGCAAAGGCATTGAGATTCAGGCTAGAGAACACACAGTTTTCAATATCGAAAACTCTTAGCCTAACAATAGATCTTAAATCGATTAATTGAAATACTTATTGAGACCGAACCACAGTGAGCATTAAAAAGCAGCTTACCAGGAGATGCAGGAGATCACTTTATAGTATTCGATGAAAGTTGTTCAAACCGTTTATAGAATTAACTATATATACGAACCACTACACCGAACCACCGAACCACTGAACCACTGAGCCACTGAGCCACTGAACCACTGAACCACTGAGCCACTGAACCACCGAACCACCACCAACAGAGCAGCATACGTAAACAGCATCATTGTAAAATCGCTTTTAGTGAATGATTTGCTTTGTATTTGATTTGTGTTTGGTATTTGATCTTGAGTTTTGAGCGCTGGCCGAAGATCAGCATTATATAAAAACTATATTGATATGGTTTATTTGTTCGATCTAGTGACTTATGCTTTCTGTGTGTTTTGGCTTACGTTCTTGTGATTTGTGTTCGTACGTTCGTTTGTTGTTGGGTTCGATTTACCTATGAATTTTCTGTATTCACTAATTTTCTTTCAAAATCACCACAATCCGAAAATTTCATTTTCTTCATACAATTTCATTTTAGATATGGCTGAAGTTTTACGAGATTTTCAGTGTAAATTATGTTCAAAACTTCTAGGATCGCGTGCGGCATTGCAGCGCCACTCGAAGGAGGTGCACAGCCGCAACTCAACAGTGGTCAGTTGTCCGCGCTGCCAGAAACTCTTCCAGAATCGCAGCAATCTGAAGATCCACATGCTCACGCATTCGGGCGTGCGTCCCTTCAAGTAAGTGCCCCCAACCCGTTCCGACAAACCCACTTGCAAACGGCTTTTGCTAACACAGAGAGAAAAAATCAAGTACGAAAGCACTTCAATTAAGTAAGATGACTCTTAAGATAATAGTTCGCTCAAGTTTGAAATTCGTTTTGCTTGCAGGAAAAACAATTTCAAATCAAGCAATCCTTATAATGAATTTCATCCCAATTGAGCTCTTAATTCTAGTTTAACTCTCAAAGATGAAATTCTTATTTCAAGCGTGATTCTTTTCTCAAGATTTTTGTTTTTCTTGCTTTAAGTGTGAGTCAAGTTATTTTCGCACTGATATAAAACTAAGTTTGTCTTTAGTCTTTCTTAAAACAATCCCAACATAACTTTGAGACAATTTTAAGCAGGCCCTTTGCTTTGCAACTTCAAGAACTTGTTAACTTGAATCAAGTTGGATTCGTCTTGATTTTTGAATAACTTTTACTTGATCCAAGAAGTTCTAGTTCATCTTCATACAATAACTTTTAGCTTTAGTGAGGATTTATGTTTTTTCTCTCTGTGCACATTTGATCCAACTACACGCACACACACACACACACACACACACACACACGCACACACGCACACACATACTCATGCGGTCATTCGCAGGTGCGCGGAACCAGAGTGCAATGCCGCCTTTACCACGAAGCAGTGCCTACAGTTCCACTACAAGAAGGTGCACAACTATACCCAGGAGCAGATGCCGAAGATTGAGCGCAGCGTGGCCTACACTTTCGATGCCTACTCGGGCGGCATGAAGGTGGACTTTTTGGGTAAGCCAGTGGGGCAGGCGCAGTTGGGTGTACTAGCGCCACGCCCTAACGCTGCCCTCTCCTTCACAGAGCAAGCACCGCGTCGGCGACGCAAGAGCCTCGAGGATCAGAACCAGAACTCGATGCTCAGCAGTTCGATGCAAAGCGACACCGAGTACAGCGACGACAATATATTCGAGGCCATTAAGAAGAGCGGCAAATCCATCAAGGATCTGTGCCGCAACGAGCCAAATCTTTCACTGCTCAGCTCCAAGATCTCCAGCATATTTGGTGAGAAGGTGCCACCTGTGCAACAGGTCTCGGGCCAGGTAAGCGCCGTTGTTGGCGCTACCGCAGCTGGCACTGGACGCAAACGCAAGCGGAAGAAGGAACCGGCGATCCCATCTCTCACCGCCCAGCAGCAGCAGCAGCAGCACCAGCAACAACACCAACAGCAACAGCTGCAGCAGCAGCAGCAACAACATGCCCAGCAGTGCCACCAGCAGCAGCAGCAGCAGCAGCAGCAACAGCAACAGCAGCAGCAGCAGCTTCACGGCGGACATCTGGATCAGTCGCCCTCGCATCTGTCCCATCAGCAGCACCAGCAGCAGCCGCAGTATCATGCGCACAGCCACGCCCACGCTCATGTGCATGCACACGCCCACCAGCAGCAGCAACAGCAGCAGCAGCAGCAGCAGCAACAACAACAGCAGCAGGCGGCCGCGCACCACCAGCAGCAGCTGCACGATGCCGACGAGGAGGAGGAGAGCGCGCGTCTGGAGCAGGTGCGTCGCAAGCAGAACGCCCAGCTCAGCCTGGTCGAGTCGTTCCTGACCACCACAGCACAGCGGCTCAGCGCTCAGCAACAGGTGCAGCAAGTGGTCGCTGCCGCGGCCGCTGTCTCGGCCATGGCCGGCGCTGGCGAGGATCCCGCCAAGCTGGGCCACATGATGGGCCACATGGGCGGCGTGGGCGTTGGCCTGGACGATGATGACGATGACGACGAGGACGATGAGGATGCCACAGCGCATCACCTGCATCACCAGCAGCAACAGCACCAGCAGCAACAGCATCAACAGCACCACTCGCACCAGGCGCATCCGCATCATGCGCACACGCATCCCCATCAGCACGGACAGCAGGCGGCACAGCAGCCGCACGATGCCGGCTATCGGCATGCGGCCGCCATGAACGCGGCCCTGGGCCAGAACCTGGTCGTCAGCAAGGGCAGCAAGAAGTGGATCGGCGCCGATGATCGCCATCTGAGCGATGGCGGCGACGTGGCCAATGATGCAGCAGTCGGCGGTGCGGGCAGCGGCGGCGGCGGTGCTGGTGTTGTTGTCGGATGCGGTCAGCTGTCAGGTGGCGGCAGTGCTGCTCAGGACCTCGGCTTCGCAGTGCCACCCAGCGCCGTGGACGAGCACAGCAAGCTGCTGGGCCAGAACCGCGACTTTCTGGCACGGCTCATGAGCAGCGCCAGCGCAAGCCATGCCAGCCATCAGCATCAGCATCAGCACAGTGCGCACAGTCGCGAGGAGGACGAGAACAGCTCCTTCCTGGATGTTGTCGAGTCCAACAACAATGCGGCCGCCGCTGCAGCCGCCGCCGCAGCGGCCATGTCCCAATACCATCACAGTGCGGCTACCAATGGCGGTGCGGGCGCTGCTGGCGGTGCCGGCGGTGGCGGTGGCGCAGGCGGCGGTGCTGGCGGGCACACGCCCACCGGCCATACGCCCACAGCGCCCAGCAGCGTAGAGCCGCCCCAAATGCAAATGAACTCGCTCAGCCACTCGCAGTCGTTCATGAGCTCCTTCTACAACAACGCCAACGCAAGACTGAGCGGCGCCGGCGCTGGCGTTGGCGTTGGCGTCGGCGTTGGCGCCAACTCCTCCTCGGCCAGCATGCTGGTGGAGGCGGCCCTCAACTCCGTTGGCAATATGATTGACAACGAGAGCAGCGATCTTAAGGTGCGTCCAAGTATTTCATGCCCGCCCATTCGGCTCGTATCATTTCAAAAATTTTAGCGACCATTTTAAAGAAATACAAATCTTTTTACTATGGAAGGGATTACGATTTATACATACAATATATATATACAAATATTCATCCAGACTGACTGACTGACTGACTGCCTGACTGATTGACTGATTGACTGATTGATGATCAATGCACAGCCAAGTCGTTAGAGCTAGGCGGCAGACTGTACTGTATATTCCACCCGAAACTGTGGAAAATTGGTGAAAAGCAAATTTTTCACAGATCTGTGTGAAATTCGAGCGAAATATTGAGGTCAATGCGAATGAATACGAATTCCAGCGAAATTCGTAGTCCATAACACGAAAGTAAAATTCGAGAAAAACGTGCAACGTTTTGTTTTTCATCAAAACGACATCAAACTAATTTTTAAATATCTGTACAAAATATAAAGTGCGAGACAAGGTATTGCGGAAATATTTAAGCGAAAGTTCTTGAGCGAATCTAACGTCAAATTAGATTAAAAGCCACCCTCTGCCTTGGCCCCGTACTATGGGAAGTGCGTCCCTGAACAGCTTCGGTGTATATAGTCCGATCTTTATGACATTTTTAGGGATTTAATATGGCACCCAATTGTATCTATATGCCAAAGTGCAAGTCTGAAGAGATCGTGGCTTTAAATTTGATCGTTCTCCTAGATGAAGCTCTTTAAATGAAAGATGCTCACGTACAAGTTGCTTAAGGTGCAGCAAACCATTTTGTAGAGTAACTTCTAATCGATCATTTTTGCATTCTAACTAGAATATACCCTTTGTTTGAACGTATACGTATCTAATCGAATTCTAATCCGGGCATTCTCATGACTCAGGTACCCACCGAGAACCACATAAATAGCGATAGTCCGATGAGCGCGCACGTGGATGCGGAGGCGCAACGTTTTGGCAGCGGCGGCGGCGGCGGCGGCGGTGGGGGTGGCGGTGGTGGTGGCAGTGGGCCAAACGGTGCTGGCATTGGAGCGACCATGGACAACCTGGAGAATGAGCTGAAGATGATGAAGAACCTGGGCAGCTTTCCCATGCAGATACCGCCATTGCCTATGTTCCAGGGCGCTTGCAACATATCGCCGAGCGCCTCGACGCCCACCAATCCGCAGAGTAATCAGAATCAAAACGATGTGGATGTGGATGCCGGCAGCACGCCGCGGCCGCAGCATCCGGACTCCGATGGTTTCTCGTCGTCGCACCATCGCACACCGCCCTCGCCGCCGCCCATATCGCCGGGACGCGACTACGGCGGCATGTTTGGCGCCGGCAATGGTGCGGGCGGGCCCGGCTCGAACAGCACGCCAGCGGGCAGCTCCAGCGGCGGCGGTGCTCCAACGGTGGGCAACAATTTGTCCGCATCGTCGCCGCTGCCGGCGCTGCAGCCGCAGCGGCGGAACGCCTCCAGCGTGGGCAGCACATATCCCGAGCATGAGCTCATCTCGCCGGCCTCCTCGCCGAGCATACCCCGCTACAATTTCAATGGCGATATGATGCGGCACAAGCGCGCCGTCCAGGAGCAGGAGCAGCAGGAGCGACGCCACAACATCTCGCGACACAATCACATGTCCAGCGACGAGGAGAACAGCATTATGCCACAGAACAGGTGAGTCGCCAGGCCCCATGAGCTACTTAGCAACGACTGTTCCAACTAATCCGATTTGTTTTTTTTTTTTTGTGTGAGCAGCGCCGGACAGGATATGCGCATGAAGTTCCCGCAATCGCAGATCGATCTCATGTACTCCAAGTACGAGAGCATGGCCAGCAATCTGAAGTACAACAGCCAGGAGCTGGACTCCCCGGTCGAGTACCGGCAGAGCAGCAACAGCAATGCGGCAAGCGCTGCAGCCGCTGCCGCCGCGGCAGCCAGCGCCGCCAATGATATGTCCGATCTGCAGGGACTGGACATGAGTTCGCGGTCGAATGCCTCGAGCAATTACCATCACAATTTCCAGCTGCCAAGCAGTCGTTACCATCACCACATCTACGATATATTGTCGGATCGGGAACAGAACCAGCAGGCGCAGGCGCAGCAGCAGACCCCAGCCTCGGTGGTGCATCAGCAGGAGCATGGCAGCCATGGCGGTCACAGCAGCCAGCTGGCCATGCAGCAGCACCAGTCGGCGGCAATGCACAACATGCTGAGCGAACAGCTGGGCGAGCAGGAGCACGATCAGACCACCTCGGTGGATCTGAGCCGTACCGCCAACTATGTGGTGTCGTCTCCGCCGCAGCTGCCCTACAATCATCCGCACCACGATATGCTGCGCATGGCCTCGCTGGATCTGACACCAAATACGGCCAATATGGCCGTGGGCAATAATCGATCGTTTCTGTCCTCGCAGATGCAGCACCAGAGTCGCGAGAGTCTCGAGCACCATCGGCTGCTGTCGACGGTCGAGCAGCATCGCATACTGGCCGCCTCGAATGCGGCAGCGGATCAGCATCGACTGCTGGTCGATCCCACCGCCCATTTGCTGATGGAGCAAAACAATCGGCTGCTGGGCACCGCCGATCAGTCCCGTCTACTGGGCGAATCGGCAGCGGCAGCTGCCCAGAATCGTCACATGGCCAGAAGCTTTGGTGCCTACCATCAGGTCGCATCGAGCAATTATCATCCGGGCGTACGGCCACCGCCGGTGCTGCCATCCGCCAACCATCATGCTTCCAATCCGTCGAATTATCATCCGTTTCCCGCCTACTACTAGGTGGCGTCATCGCTAACTAAAAAGCGGCCACACAATGCCCAATTCCCAGCCCCTCTAGTTTCTATCCCACTATATATATATATAAGTGTATACAGATCAGATGGATCTAACATATATATATATATATATACATATATGTGTGTGTAATCTGAATATACGCTAGATATACGATCATTTAATTATTTACTAACAGCTGCCAGATGCGTGAGGCGAAACGGATATCCAGCAGAAGGACCTACACCTACATCTATATATACATATATAGCTAACCGGGACTGTGTGCAATTCAAATATCAGATAGTATATGTATATGTATGCATATGTATGTAAGCCTGTACATTCGCCTGGCAGCAGCTACCTATCTATGTACGTTTACTAATCGCGAATCCTTGATTCTATATAGTTCAATTTCAAGCGCAAATGCATCTAAATATGTTTCAAACGTAACAATTTTTGGTTCCTCGGTTTTATTCGCATATAACTCTCAACTAACAAGCCGCAAATAACAACTTGTTATTAACTATTGAAGGCCCCCAATTAAGGTGTATCGCATTATGTTCAGTGTCTCAACTACTAAACGAAATATAAATAATAAAAACTAAAAAATAAAATAAAAAAAAAAAAAAATAATGATAAATAAAAACTAAAAAAAAAAACAAGAACAACCATAAAGTGTGCCAATATGTTTAAGTGTACATTGAGTTTTTTTTTTTTTTTTCGCTAAAGCTGGCAAACTACATATAGAAATATATGAATTTGTAACAATAATAATAACAATATGTATAGTTGTATATGTAAAAAAAAAAAAAAAAAAAAAACAAAACAAAAATAACAGATAATATATAAAATAAAATAAAGTTTGAAGAGAACATAAATTATAAATAAAATAAAACACATAAAACTGTAATTTTAAACAATTCGCCGCTGAGTTTGTATAAAATAGAAATTGTATAAAAACAAAATGCGATATTGTATCTCGTATACACAAAAAAAAGAAAAAAGGAAAAAAAAAAACAAAAAAAAAATGCATTGCTATTTTTACACCAGGAAAAAGAAAACAAACAAACAAACAAGAAGTAAAAATTATAAACGAGTACAAACTGTTG